AAAAAAACAAAAATAAAATAGCTATCAGATTTTTTCTTTTAGAAAAACAGTTTTGTTTTTGAGATAAGGAATGAGAAATCTGAGGATTTGTTTGATTGAGTGCAAAACTCAAATAAAATGATTGAAAAGCAGAATATTATTGTTAAAAAAATAACTTACAATGGCAATAAAAAAAATACAAGGGTTGTTAAAGCAGAAACTTTTTCATATCTTGCCTTTTAAAAAAACTTAACTATTCCCTTAAACCCTACAACTGCCAACATCTGATTGTTAATTCTCCCCTGTAGCTGCTACACATTTTCTTGTAAATAAGTTACAAGAATTTGGTGCTAGATCAAGATAACTTCTGCCTGATGAGATTAAGTATTCTCATTACCTGTTAGTAAGATAATGTATGGTTGTTGTAGGGAGAAGTTACATGTTTATCACTTCAGGAAGTAAAAGGGTTGAGCCACACAAAAGGAAAAAAGGAAAAGGCCCATGACTTACACTGAATGAAGCTATAAGTAACGAAGGCAAAGTTCTGCAAGTCAAATGCTATAATTTCCATAAAGTTCTGTCTTTTGACCTGTCAAAGAAAGGAAATTATTGAACATTCTGTTACGTAACAACTGACTACTTTTTCTCACAGGTAACCAAACACATAACAGAAAATCCTCCAATGACTTACTGCGAATAAACACAAAAAACATGTGTACACAACTGCACCCATGTATATGGCCATATAAATCCTTCTCCCAGGTCCCATTCCAGGGTGCTGTAACACAGAAACAAAGAACAGTTAGATTTTCTTCAGTTTCATGCAAGACAAATCAGAGTTATCTGCTTACACAATGTTTCAAGGCCCTGGGGTTCAAAGGGAGATTAACATTATTCAATGGATAAAAAATTATCCATCAGATAGGTGTTCACAAAACCTACTCTGGTATCCAGAGGATTAAAAGATTTATCTGGTGGATGGCATTGTCCACACTTCAAACAACTGTGACCTAGGCCCTTTTCTTGAAAGTACTGGTAACTTAACAGGCCCATGAAACTGTTCTAATTTTCATTTCAGATGGGGGTTTTGAAAACAATACAAAAAACTATCAGCTAAAGAAACAAAATGGACAGGTTGAGAAGCCACAAACTGCTTCTCTATTGATCCAATTTTGATTTTAAAATATGGTTTTGTTCCTGTTAACCCTTTAACTCCCAAGATCTCATTAGTAATTCTCCTTACTGTCTGTCAAATGATTCTCATTATGTTAGTTTGGAGAATTTGGTATTGGATCAATTAGTAATCCCATAATTGATATTTTTCTTTATTCTTATCACGTGTCTGCTTGATATTGTAAGATATAGTAAGGAGAAATTCTGTCTTGGTCACTCATGGGAGTTAAAGGGTTAAGTTACTGGGACTTTTGAGAAATGGGTCCCTGACCTCTAGTTCATTAACTTGGACTAAGGAGAGTTTGATATAATTTCCAAATTCCCTTTGTTTAATTCCATCCATCCTTTCAACTGAATGCTGATCTACACTTATTTATACACACCTCAGTATTATTATATGCACTGAAGTCTCCGAGAGCTATCATCAAACCTTGAAATACCACAACAGCAACGACTATAAACAGTGCAAAAAAAAAATGAGAATGATAAATTGAAATAGATAAGTATAGATTTATCACAAGACATATATGCTCTTAAATATTATGACAAAAAAACTGAAATACCAGTGACTGACTCTGTAAAATAGTAAATACATTTTACAATATAGACATTTTCATCCTAAGAGATAACTAGCATGTGGCTGATCAGGGTCTTCTCTTCTTTTACCCACCCCTCCCCCAAAGTGGTTGACCTCGTACATCTCTTCCAAAATAACTTCCTTCTCTAGTTAGAGCTGCCAATTCTTGTCAAGTAAAACTCCGAAGATTAATTCCCAAATATGTTTAATTAATTCAGTACCAAAAACAAACCTCAGGACATATTTTGACCCAAAATTTAATTACAAATTGCAGAAATCCACAAAATAATTGTGAATAGTATTGAAAATAGTTTGATAATTGTCACTGAACTCTAACAATAAAGTGGTGATTCAAGATTTTTTGGGAAATCTTTCCAGCCTTCATTATTTCATAAACTGTTGAAAGCTAAAAGGTTGGCTAACTTGTCATGAAATACTTATTATTACGAGTTTGTGCCAAACATAATAAATTATATTCAAAAATAACATCTCCTGATTACAGCTTTTTAATATCAAAATTGCATGAAAGATCTTCCTCTTTTCTTAATCACAGGCAATGAAAAAAAAATAGCTTTCTTTTTTCACAGAATTTTCATATAATTTCACGTAATTTGCCAAAACAAATTTTAAACTTGGTTCTCAGCATGCAATTTACCTTTTAATTTGGGAATTTTGTCCAAAGTCAATAAAATTTAGCTTACTAAACGAGCTTGGAAAAATATTAACACTTTTCATTCAAGTCTAAAATACACCTGCCTCTTGACTAGCACCAAAAAAAATTTAAATTAGGACACAGATGCAATAACAAAGCAAGTGAAACTGTTGGCAACCTAATGGTTGACTTAATCATAACATGAAACAGAAATTGTTATGACCTAAAAATTAAGTCATCAAAAAACATCACCGTAATCGAGTGTTTTTTTTTCAAAGTAGATCTGCCCCTATGATCAGTGTGTTTAATTAACCACCCAACTAGTCATTAAAAATATTAATTTCAGCTCTATGGAAATAATGTAAACATCACCTGCTCTCTTTATTGTCATATGATTTTATTCAATATTTTGCCGGGAATTAGCTCTTGTCATGGCAATTTAGACGAAACTGAAAAATTGTCAAACTTGACCTTACACAATTTCACAATTGAACTATACAACTAATCACGGCCACAGAGAATAAATTGGCGGCTGCCCAGAAACAAATATTGTTCAGGTTACAGTTAATCAGCTGAATGCGTTGAAGCAAAACCTGGAGAACAATTCTTGTGAATAAAAATTGAAAAAAAAAGACAAAGAACAATCGGGTATTTTTCTCCAGCATCAATAATTTACAAAACAAGAAATTGAAATATAGCTAAACTCCAACTCGATAGTTCATCGATGTAACAGGTTCCTAAAGTTAACCATTAATCGTAATTCGTAATTCCCGACACAAATATCCATAGGCTACGTGCGACACGATGCTTCGTATTCCCTTTTTTCAACCAAGCTCAAAGTTCAATGGCTAATAAATTTTTCGTACCTCTTTAAGAAACTTCTTATAAATAACCTCCGGTGTAAGCGTTCAAGCGGTTTCCATTGATTCTTCAAGGATACCCTTTTGTTTGCTTTAAGGATCTTAGTTAAAATCATAATCGTTTGTATCATTAGAGCTTTCGATGCGACACCAGAGGAAGTGGACATTTTTCAAGTGCTTAGGGGAAAATTTTTATCAGGCGTAATCAGGTTTTCACAGTCAATCCGGTTTAAATTAGCCCCATGAGGTTAAACACGCAGCAACATCTTTAGGGTCACATCAGACTCTGTTTACTGAAGTAAAGATCCTTGCGCTGTGATACATCGCAAGCGTGTACTTGTAGCAAATTTGCTTAGTTGGCGACAGACTTAAATAAGATCCCAAAAATAAAAATACAGTAGCGTAGTAAATGGACCATGGGGATGTTTTGATCTTCAGCCATCCATGTAAGCTGAAAATTTGATAAACTCGATCGAACGTCAGATTGTGAAATACAAACTTTACCTTGGAAAATGTCACAGCCAAGAAATATTTTTGAAGCTCTCGATAATCCATTTTGGCTCTGTTCCGGTGGTCTGCGAATGTTCAGTACTCTTTCCATTTCCAAACAAAAAGTTTCTGTTCTACATCAAAGACCGCACAAACAGATCAGGAAGTCTCAAAGTATTGTAAAACGGCAGTTAATTAAGTATTCCATGTTGACCCAATTTCTAACAATCCGTCAGATAGCGCAATCCTCCGTCGCTTTGATCGATGCCAACGTAAAGTTTACTTCATCTCTAGAAAAAGATTTATCCGTTGTAATTTCTTATTAATTAGCGGGACGTCTTTTTCCAGAACAGTACAGACTTTTGTAATCATTCCATTACAGATTCGAACAAAAGGCTCCTCAATTACCCAGAACTCTTGCGAGCGCCCTCCATTTGACCGCGCGCTAGGCGCGTGCAAAATCTCTGCTTCAGGAGGCGCGGTTAGAGTCAAACTAGTGTAGGGGTTACTCAAAGTGAACGGGTATCTTAGCTTTATACACACAGACATGCTCATAGAGTGAGTGGGCGTACCATCAGTTGCTATGATCAGTTTGCCACCAATACATGAGTGAAATAATTGAAACAAAATCAGTGAGGGAGGAACGACGTGAAAGAAAGGGCGAGACAAGTTTCTCCCATCAAGGCAGTTGAGAGTATGAGAAACATGGGGAGGGGGGGGGGGGGGGGGGGGGGCGTCACTTTCTAAGACCAAGCATAAACCCCTACCATATATTCCCAATGTGTCCTCTGTGAATGTCATCTTGTCACACGAATAGCGAGCTCCAGGTGCGGATGCATGCTCTGAATTATATTTTATTGACAGGATCATCTAAGTAGTCTAAACATTAGAGAATTACCTTCGGGGGAGGAGGAGGTACAGAAAACGGGTGGGGTTTCAAACACCACCTCAATGGCCTCCAACGACTCCCGAGCGGACAATCGCGACAGTATCCGAAGTGCGCATGATCGTGACGACTTCCCAACGAACGTGATCTACCCGATCATCCGACGGAGTGTTTAAACATAGTGGACCGATCATTATTTATCGCCCTTAGGG